TCTAAACGGTAAATTCGATGACCTCGTTAGATTTACTCATTGTAGAAAAGCTCTTTAAATCATTTCAAATAGTCTAGTCTGACTTAGTTCTTATAAAAGATATATATTTCTTCGGTGTTCGGTTAGATCAGGTCATGGATACCTTCCACTCTGCCTTCCAAATGAACTGGAAACTATAACAAAATGTGTTCTAGGCTCGGTTTCTAGCCTGAAGCCTTGAATGCGACACTCGGACCGCGTTGTTTGCGTCCTCTTCACCTGCCCCCAGCTTCAACAGTCGTTGTTCACTCCGACCGATCTAGTTTCAGCCTGAAAGACGTCTCGTGCTCATCTTCGTCCAACCAGGCAACACCGACAGGCGTGCCAATCTCCCGATCGTCTTGTCGATACCGGTTTTTTCTCCAAAGCATTGTGTTAGGTGGTGCCAAGTCTAATGAGCGCATAATAATTATGACATTTCCCTGGCAATCGAAGCGATAACTCCGTCCAAACATACTGCGTTTATTGCCGCCCACTGAGCACCACGGTTGCCAGGGGAGGGCAAAAGCACACACGCGTCGTCAAGGCGCCCTGGGCAAAAGGGGTCAAATTGCAAACTTGCCACTCACTCTTCATCAAACCCGGGCACAAACGGACGAGAAAGCCTGCGGACTCTCGTATGCGCTTCTGTGCATGTGGGGTGGAGAGGCGAAATCTGGTATGAAATCTGAAGTAGGCGTAAAGTTGTGGGGAGGGCGCAAAATTTCGGGTATGTGGACGACGGTCGAATGAGTGCCAAGTGCTCGAGAGTGACCCGATTTGGGCAGGTGCCAAGGGTCGAATCTCTATGGCTTTGCCTCTACCGCCCGATCATGGATGTGTGCGCCGCAACCTCGTCAGCCGGCGATTGAGCATGCCTGAGAGAAGAAGAGACAAGCAAAGAGCAGATAGTAGCGAGTAAAGAGGAAATAAAATGCATTGCAGAGTGAAATTTTCCATTTGACTGAGCTCTGACCAATTTGATGAGGTCGACTTTAAAGGCCTTCAATCTTGCTTGTCTGTCGAGCCTGTCCACTGCTTTCGCTATTGCCCCACTCCCTCTTCCTCCTTCTCACCATTCAAGTCGTTCAATCTACCATCGTGTATTGCGTAATCATCTTGGCATTCGGTTGCTGGGGCCGGAAATAGCCCAGTCTTGTAGCGAATTTTTCCACGAGTTGACCGTCCCAGCCGATTGCCCGTTTGAGCATGTTTAGTGACGAGATCCCGTTAAAAAAAGCTAGTAGATGTGAGCCCGATGAGAGAACAATTA